GGGGGGGGGGCAGAATGAACAGACATTTTCTGTTGATTGGATAAGACTTCTGTGGGGGTGATACCGATAATTCACTCACAGATTTCTCCGAAACGTAATGTAAAACTGTGTCTTGATTGGAAACAAGCATGCTACTGAAGGTATCAGTTGATGCTCCTTTTCAGAAAGACAACAGCATGGTGGCAGATTGATGTCACTCTGATTGAAACATCTTTGTATGATTAGGTCCTACTCACTGATGTAATAATAAAAACTCCCAATCTATTTTCACCTATAAGTGTTTAGTACGTCTACAGGGTATGTCATATTTTATCCGGTGTTTAAAAGTTGTCCAAACATTTCCTGCATATCTTTTTCCCCGAAATGTTTTCCTGTCCCTGTTAATATCCCTTACTTCCAGTCTGATTAGCTCAACAATCAAACTTCTTTCTAATAATTACTCTTCATTTCTGACATGGAAATGTAAAATAATCTGCTTATACATTTTCAGCAAGAAACATTGAACATTTTAAGCCACAGTGTACAGTGTATATCTGTAGGTGAGGCCACGTTTCCCTGGACTTCCCCTGATCACACTATAAAGGCGGGTTTTAATGCTTTTTATTATATATGTTGATGTTACAAATCAAAAGTTACAATAGCAGAATGATCAGTTATGAAATTCATCCTAGTTGCCTCAAAATGACATTTACAGAATATCCAATACCCTTAAAACATATTTATGAACAAATTTATTTTTTTTCCTTTTTTTTTCTTCTCTGTTTGACAGGTATTAATTAACCTATCATGTTAAGATTAGTAAATATCTCAATCTTATAATACTTTCCATCCATAATAACTTAACCTACTAGTTTTTTTAATATAAAGAAATAAAAGTTTGAATATCCTTGTTGAACCTGATCAAAGTAGAATGCTGAAGTATCTAGTCATTACGTTGTGAGCCACGTGTTCGAGGCTCAATCACAAACCCAGTACGACTTTGATTGTGAATTTATACTGATAACCACTTTCAATTACATTATGTCTGTTAATTTATAAACTGTTTTTCTGTATTTGACAGGTGAGACTGTCATTTACAACCTATGTCTGCATGCCTATAGCTAAGTTATATTTATTTTCAATAACATTAAGTGTTACTGTAGACACCAAACATTTGTCATTGTCTAATTGATTATTGCAGTTTTGTTCTCATGCATAATTTACTAACTTATGTAGATTTATCTCTTTATAGTATTTTCAACAATATTTCTTTCTTTTATTCCTTTATTGTATCTACCTACTTTTGTTTTTTGTGGCACTAGCTACATTTTCTGAGATCTTCAAATGACCATTGATACTCACAAGCTTTCTTTTGTACTGTATGATAAAAGAAAATTTTGCTTGACCTATCAACATTCAGGAAGTTTATGAGATTAGTGGGTAACCTTGACATTGGTCGGTGGGTAACCTTGACATTAGTCGGTGGGTAACCTTGACATTAGTCGGTGGGTAACCTTGACATTGGTTGTGGGTAACCTTGACATTGGTTGGTGGTTAACCTTGACATTGGTCGGTGGGTAACCTTGACATTGGTCAGTGGATAACCTTGACATTGGTCAGTGGGTAATCTTGACATTAGTCGGTGGGTAACCTTGACATTAGTCGGTGGGTAACCTTGACATTAGTCGGTGGGTAACCTTGACATTGGTCGAAGGGTAACCTTGACATTGGTCGATGGGTAATCTTGACATTGGTCAGTGGGTAATCTTGACATTGGTCGGTGGGAAACCTTGACATTGGTCGGTGGGTAATCTTGACATAGGTCAGAGGGTAACCTTGTCGTTGGTCAGTCAGTGGCCTTGATACTGGTCAGAGATGTTTTTCTTTATTATTTGTTATTCCCTCTACAGAAGATCAAAGTTTTGATGTCAGACTCAAAATTTAGTGCAATGCTTTCCAGAACATAATATCTGTGTTAGGGAGGATGACTTTCTCAACTGTGTGTGGTTTGTTGGATTTCCATTTCAATACCATAACTTTGTGAAATTGAATTTAAATGAGAATTTATATGTGTCTTGTTTAATAAATACAATGACGATAAAAAGGATTTTCTGTACCACAAGAATGTCTTCAGAAATAATTATGCAGTGTTAGGACAGTAATACTGTTGTATTTAGATCTGGTATGCTGACAAAGGGATCAGGATACATATCATCTACATCTCAACATTTCTTTGTGTCTCACTTATTAATATTGATGAAATATTCAAAAGATTTTTATTTTCTAGATAATTGAGTTTTTGTTTAAATATGTTAATATTGTTTAATTATGTAATATTACCTGCTCCAATTTGTCATCAAAGATCATGCATTACTTTTCACCTTCTCATGACGAACGATTTTGTTGCATTCTTTGTCAGTTTATAAATTAAATACAGATGACGAAGACAACTACTACAGATATACATCAACAGTTGGTGTACATAACACACCAACACCTTATCATGCTCTAGCCTGGTAGCCTCACAGCCCAACACACCAACACTTTACCATGCTCTAGCCTGGTAGCCTCACATCCCAGCACACCAACGCTTTACCATTCTCTAGCATGGTAGCCTCACATCCCAGCACACCAACGCTTTACCATTCTCTAGCATGGTAGCCTCACATCCCAACACACCAACACCTTATTATACACTAGCCTGGTAGCCTCAAAACCCAACACACCAACACCTTATAATACACTAGCCTGGAAGCCTCACAACCCAACAAACCAACACCTTACCATTCACTAGCCTGGTAGCCTCTCAGCCCAACACACCAACTCCTTATCATACTCTAGCTTGGTAGCCTTACAGCCCAACACACCAAAACCTTACCATACTCTAGCCTGGCAGCCTCACAGCCCAACAGACCAACACCTTACCATACTCTATCCTGGTAGCCTCACAGCACAACACACCAACACCTTATAATACACTAGCCTGGAAGCCTCAGAGCCCAACACACCAACACCTTATTATACACTAGCCTGGTAGCCTCACACCCCAACAAACCAACACCTTACCATATTATAGCCTGGTAGCCTCACAACCCAACAAACCAACACCTTACCATTCTCTAGCCTGGTAGCCTCCCAGCCCAACACACCAACGCCTTACCATACTCTAGCCTAGAAGCCTCACAACCCAACAAACCAACACCTTACCATTCACTAGCCTGGTAGCCTCTCAGCCCAACACACCAACTCCTTCCCATACTGCAGCCTGGTAGCCTCACAACCAAACACACCAACACCTTATTATACACTAGCCTGGTAGCCTCACAACCAAACACACCAACACCTTATAATACACTAGCCTGGAAGCCTCACAACCCAACAAACCAACACCTTACCATACTCTAGCCTGGTAGCCTCACAACCCAACACACCAACACCTTACCATTCTCTAGCATGGTAGCCTCACAACCCAACAC